GGAGCCGAGGGCCGAGGCTTAGATGAAGTAACTCGTCAGACTTGAGAGTGGGGATGGTGGCCTGCCCTGAGCATCCAACAGAAGCTACTTACACTTGACTGAACGGAACCTTTCTTCAAAGGGGAGAGCACTGGCTTGAATGCATGGCCGCCCAATTCGTATGCTGAAACCTTAATCTCAAAGTGATGGATTGAGAGGTGGGTGGAAGGTGGTCAGGCCGTGAAAGTGGAGCCTTTGTGAATGGGATTAGTGCCCAGGCCAATGTAGCCATTTGGGGAGTTACCAGTAGATGGGGGAGAGTGTGTGTGCTCTATCTAGCTTCCAAACAAACGAAACAAAAATCTGTAAAACAAAGAGAGGAGACTCACCGGTCTCCGCGGTAGATCGCCTCTAAAGCTCCTGTACGTGGCTCATCGCCAAACCTGTCAGGGCAGCACAGCTGCCGCCAGTGTGGGCGTGGACAGAAATAGCTCAGATATGCAACTCTACACACCAGTGCCTTACTTTTTTGTGCAAATTTTTTAAAAATAGAAGCAAAAGAATTTTCATTTTAGACAATAGTCACTAAATATTTCTGTTGCATCACAGGCGATCCAAACATTTATGAGGGCACATCAAAAAGTCTGTAGAAATTGGAATTAAAAGGATGTTCATCCTTGTCTCAACTGTTGAGGAACAGTTTGCCAGTGTATGCGTGTGTGTGTGTGTGTGTGTGTGCAAACTGTTGAACTCTTTACTTAGTATAGAGTTGGTCTTCTGTGTATAAAGTTAATTGGAAATGGATCTTAGTGGAGAATGAGGCTGGGAATGGGAGAGGGAGGAGGAGGAGGTGTGGGAGGGCAGGTATGGTGGGAAGAAGCACTACTCCTAAAGATGTACTTATGAAATGCATGAAGTTTGTATTCCTTAAATAAAAGGTTTCTTTGAGGGGAAAAAAAGGACATTCATTTTGGTGAAAAATTTTTTGAAATCCATGCATACATGGAGTCTATAATTTATAAAGTTCATGGAGAATGGAGTATTATGAAAAGAACAAATTTTTAAAACTTTTGCACCAAAATAAACTTATACCTTTTAATTCCATTTTTCCATGAATTTTTTGAAGTACCCTTGTATTTCTATGAGCTGAAAAGCCTTGAAAAGACAAGAATGAGGGTACACTTTATACAGTCACAAGTAATACTTAGAGCCAATCTTTACACACAGTCGACTGTAGTTCTAAATGCCTTTTAAAAACCATTTAACACTTTCTACAACTTGTGGAGTGCACCAAATTACAAGCTTACTCTGATGAAAGAAAATTGCCTATATTCTGCCTTAGCTACACAGAAAATGAATAATTGATGAGTAAGAGCAAAGAGTTTTGAAAACCTAGAGATATCATAGGGATGATAAAAAAAAATACAATCCGGACAGACAACCAGCACCCAGAAACTCAGCAAAATTATACAACAAAAACAATCAGTGAAGCTGGACACACACCTGTCTGTGTATGTGTTTCATTCCTCCAGAAAGCAGCTCTGAAAGGACTCTTCCCAGCTTGGACGAGGACAGTGTCTCCTAAAACCAGCTACTTGAGAAGATACTGACCGCTGGGGAACGAGGGGTGGGGGACTGCAAATGTACTGCAAGGCCTTTGGTATCTAAGTCACCACCACACATTTCCCCTGGGGCTCACTGTGATTAAAGAAGGTACACACAGGGCAGGGGCCAGTGCTGCAGTGCAGCAGATTAAGCTGTGTCCTGCAACACGGGCATCCCACACGAGCACCAGCTTCAGTCCCAGCTGCTCCACCTCCAACCCAGTTCCCTGTTAATGTACCCCAGGAAGCAGCAAATGATGGCCCAAGTGATCGACCCTACCACCATGTGGAAGACCTGGATGAAACTCCTGGGTCCTGGCTGTTGTGGCCATTTGGGGAGTGAATCAGTGAATGAAGGAACTCTCTATCTCATTCTCTCTAATTCCGCCTTTCAAATAAATAAAGTAAATCTTAAAAAAAAAAAAAAAAAAGAGGTACAGGTCCCACTGGGAGAGCTGCTCAGTGACCACTGAAGCCCACTCTACTGCTGTTCTGGTCACTGGCACTTTTTTTTTTTTTTTTTTTTTTGTAACAGGTAGAGATAGACAGTGAGAGAAAGAGACAGAGAGAAAGGTCTTCCTTCCGTTGGTTCACTTCCCAAATGGCCACTACGGCTGGTGCTGCACCACTGATCTGAAGCCAGGAACCAGGTGCTTCCTCCTGGTCTCCCATGCGGGTGCAGGGCCCAAGCACTTGGGCCATCCTCCACTGCCCTCCCGGGCCACAGCAGAGAGCTGGACTCGAAGAGAAGCAACCGGGACTAGAACCCAGTGCCAATATGGGATGCAGGTGCCACAGGCAGAGGATTAACCAAGTGAGCCACGGCGCCAGCCCATGTATTTATTTTTATTTCAAAGGCAGAGAAAATCAAAGAGAGGCAAAGAGATATTTTCTGTTTGCTGGTCCACTCCCCAAGCGCCTGTAATAGCCAGGGCTGGGTCAGGCTGAAGCCAGGAGCCTGGAACTCCATCCAGGTCTCCCATGTGGATGGGAGGGGCCCAAGTACTTGAGTCGTCACCTGCGGCTTCCCAGGGCATATTACCAGGAAACTGGAGCACAAGTGGAACAGTCAGGACTCGAACCAGGCACTCCATTATGGGATGCAGGCACCTCCCCCACCCCACACACACACTCGCAGCATCCTCCTGCTCCATCAAACACCAGCCCCACTAGAATTTACTGACATCAACCTGAGTAGGACACACATTTTCCAAGAATCCCTCCGTACCAGAGTTCAACTCAAGGACCAACACTTCACTGTTTTGATCTGGTGAAATACTGCCTGGGGCAGTCACTCATTTCAGTGGAGATCTGTAACAAACCAACTCTCTCACACCCTCTGTTTTGATACAGTACACTGACCTGTACTGTCAAAATTTATACTTGTGGGGCCTGCACTGTGGCATAGTGCACTAAGCCTCCGCCTGCAGCACTGGCATCCCATATGGGTGCCGGTTTGAGTCCTAGGTGCTTCTCTTTCAATGCAGCTCTCTGCTATTGCCTGGGAAAGCAGTGGAAGATGGCTCAAGTCCTTGGGCCCTTGCACCCTCGTGGGAGACCTAGAAGAAGCTCCTGGCTCCTGGCTTTGGAATGGCCCAGCTCCAGCTGTTGTGGCCATCTAGGAGTGAACCAGAAGACAGAAGACCTCTCTCTCTGTCTCACCCTGTAACTCTATTTCTCAAATAAATAAATAAATCTAAAAAAAAAAATAGAAATATAACTAAAATGTAATTTTTTAAAAATTATATATTTGCATAGATTTAAAAGCAACTAATAATTTCCCTTCTTACCATCAAAAGCTTACAGAATCGAAGTTGGGATGGCAAGAAGTTTACAAAATACGTCAGCACATTATTCTCACCTCTTACTACCATCCACTCTAAAACTGGGCTCAGCAGACAGCTTTTACATCCTGCCCATGCTGACGCTACTGCTACCAGGGCTGAAGTCACACTGCCTACCTGTTACACCCCCTTAATCACCAACACCCCAAGAGACCTGCGCGCCCTGCAGCCCTCCCCACCTGCCTTCCTCCAGCTCTCCTCTTCCTCCAGGAACCTTTTTTTTCTTTTTCCTTCGAACATGGAGGAGTTGCCCTTAAGCAGCTTACAAAGAGCCTGATGGTTAACATGATTAGGGCCCAGGAACATTAGTAAAAATACATAAATGGGACTAAACGTAGACGTGGAATTCTTCATGAGAAAACCCCAGGGGACACCTACCAGGGAAGAGTCAACAAAGAAGAAAGGTCTTAAATCGTGCCTTAACCTTGGTTTCCTGAAGGCACAATCTCTCCCATCTGGATGGCCTCAATCTACTTTACGCCAAGAGAGCAGTCTGTTCGTTTCAGACGTGAATAGAGGGCTGAGCATTAGGAAAAACCAGCAACCAGCACGTGCAACCCACTTTGCCTCTTTTATGGCATTAGTTGCACAAGGGCCAGGGAATAAAAGGGAAAGTGAAGCTGTGCCCGCCCCTGCTGGGCAATCTCTCAAGGGACTCTCCCTGGCGCTCTGCCTGGCAACTTTTTTTTAAGAAGCACCCTTCCCTAATTCAAGGTAAAAACCTGGACACAGCCAAACCAAACGTTTTTGGTTCCACTCTTCTGGCTTTGAGTCTGATCACAGGCGGCCGTGGAATGCAGCACCCCCTGGGACAGAAGGCAGCAACCGCATCTCCCGTATCCTCATGTCCAGCTCACAGTTTGATTCCTGCTTCCCAGAGAAGAGCTTCAGACAGATGAACTCATCAGGCACAGGAGCTGAGGCCTGCTTCTCATCAGAAGAAAGCCCCAGGCAGCACTCGGCTCACGGACCCTGCTTCCAAGTAGTAAAGAAACAACCTACAGAGCCCTGCACGTGCCCGTGTGCTGTCTGCAAGGGGCTGCAGAGATGCCCACCAACAAGAAAGAGAGGCCTCCAGGGATGCATGCCAGGCCCACCACAGGCAGCAGAGCTCGGGACGGCAGGACCAGCCTGTGTGGCCACTCCGCGCTTCCACCGAGGGGCCTCTTTGGGACTGAAGGGACGGGCACAGGAAACTGTGATAGTTCAGGAAGGGTTCTTTCTTTGAATGAAAAGACAAAGCCTCTGACCAACTTCCCCTTTTTAAAAACAGATACATAATAACTGTAAGCATTTGTGGGGTACAGTGTGGTATTTTGATACGCATATGATGATCAAATCAGGATAATTAGCATATCTGTCACTGCAAATGTATCATTTCTTTGTGTTGGCTATGCTAAAAATCCTCTCTTCTAGGTATTCTGAGATACACAGTAAATTATCATGAACGATAATCACCTTACTGAGCTGCAGAACCCTGCAACTGATGCCCTCTGCACCTGCAACTCTGTTAACTAAGCACTCCCCAGGCCCAGAGCTAAGCGGAAAGGAACATCACCAGGCCATGCCTCACCGTAAGGGTACTTGGTATCCAGCTTGTTCTCTGCCGTCCTCCTCCAAGGCAACAGGTCGTCGCTGCACCCATTCGGCATGCCATTGTACCCGATCCCGACAATCTTGTTCTCCGCGTTCACGATGCAGGCCCCGACCTACAGGGAGACACGTCCAGAGGCTTGGGGACTGCACATGGCTTTCCTGCCCCTGGGGAGGCAGCAAATGAAGTCACAGGGAATGCAGAGCTCAGAACAGACTTCCAGCTGCTAGAGGTGCTGAGAGCTCTGTCTGCTGGCCGGTTTCCAGTGACAGCTCCCAGAAGCCTCGGGAAGCGCACTCCTGGCCCCAGACAGAGGGGGCACAAGAGGCAGGTAACCGTGGCATGTGTCAAGTGACTTCCTCACAGCAAGACGGGAGCACACAGATTCACTCTGCATTAGTCTGGCGGCCCTCCTTCCTAATTTGCTCCTTGGTGGGCATTTCCTTGTCTGTGGGTGTCCAACCGCTCTCCTCTGAAACTCATTTACCTGGGAATTCGGATCTTTGCTTCTCTGTGCTGATAGGAAGGCCACTGCCATGAAATACTCAGGCCACTCCAAATAGTCCTCCCGTTTTCTGCAGGAAACCTCGCTCATGATGGGTCTAGAGGGAAAACATGGTAAGATGGTTGTTAAGAAAAGCCCTCTGAGAAAGCAGTATAGGACGGCCCAAGTCCTTGGGCCCCTGCACCCACGTGGGAGACCCGAGGAAGCTCCTGGCTCCTGGCTTCAGATTGTCACGGCCAACTGGGGAGTGAGCCAGTGGATGGAAGACCTCTCTCTGCGCCTCTCCTCTCTGTGTAACTTTCAAAAAATAAATAAATAAATAAATCTTAAAAAAAAAGAAAAGTCCTCTGATAGATCTGCTTTCCAATTCAACCCAACCGCAATGAACTTTGGATCTGTAAACACAGGCCACGTCAGCCACATTTACCAATGAGCAATCACAAAACATGGGCTCCACACCGTCCCATCTTTTAAAAGTTAAGAAGTTCCCTGTTTCAGAAGGTCAGTGTTGGCACTGGCACCTCCCCTTCCTAAATCCTTCACCTGTTTGCAGCTTTCTCATGGCACGGTTTACGACGACACACGACTGCCTACAAACCGTTGTCCTCCACCTCGCTCCCTTGCTTACAAAGTGAAGCTGGCAGAGGAGGGTGCGGGAAGAGAACAGAAACCTTTCTGGACCATCTGACAGATCCCAGACACCGTCAGCCAGGGCACAGAGCAACAGCCCATCTTAAGGACACTCAGGGAAGCCAGGGACTGTGCCCTAAACAGCACAGGATTACTACCTACCCCAGCTGGGTCACCAAGGAAACAGCTGAGGCACTCCCAATTCTGATATGAACCAAGAATGGGCCCCCTGCCCCTTCTTCGTGGCTACTTCGGACAGGACAGAAGTTATCAGCCCTGAGTGCAGACTCACAGGAGAGGCTGCGAAGAGTGGCAAGCGTTATTACTCAGGTAAGCTTGTCCTCCCAAGGTGCAGGTGCAGGCTGTGTCTCCAATAGGGCCAGACCACGAAAGGTGGCCTAGAACTTCAGGTAAGGGGATCCTTAGCAAGGAAAGAAGGCAACCCAAGTACTGGCAGGTACCACTGCGGCACCTTGGGAAAGCCAGACATCCAACCTAAAGGAAGATGAGGATTTCCCAAAGCTCTCCCTTCGGGCTCCAGACTTTGAGCTCACGCCCAAGATAAGGAGCAGCACTGGGCCCAGAGTCTGAGAGGGTAACAGCAGGCCAGCAGTAGTGCAAATCCTGGGAGGCTGATGAGGTGTTGGTATCCATAATGGCTGCAGGGTGCTAAATAAGCGCCTACTGTATGCAGGAGGGAGGCGCACTCCCCTGGGCAGTTTCTCTGCGCAGAACTTTAGTTCTTAAAGTTACACGCAACCGTCCGGGACTGAAACAGGGCGGGGAAGCGGGGTTCGGACACCGCGAGGCGACCAAAGCTACATCCCAGTCACCCACGCTGCTCGCCACCCCTCACCCCCGACTCAGGGACCAACCCGCATCCCCTCCCCACGTGTGGGCGCAGGAAGGGCCGCAGACTACCCTCTCCGGCCGTGCTGACGGAGCGCGTCCCGCCGACGCCACGCGCTCTCGGAGAAATGACCCCGGCGCGACCGCGAGGCACGCGGGCGCTCCCCGCCCGCCCCCGTCCGCCCCCGTCCGCCCCACGCAAGCTTTCACTCCGAGGAGGGCTCCTCAGGGCTCGGCGGCCGCCAGCCCGGCCTCCCGCTCCGCGCCCCAGCGGCGCCACGTGGCGTGCGGGCCGCGTACCCGCACCGCCGACCCGCTGCGCGCGCTCCGCTCCGCGTCCGCCGGCCTGGACGCCAGTCTCCCCGCCGCCGCCGCCGCCGCCGCCGCCGCCGCCGCCGCCGCGCGCCTCCGGGGCAGGAAGTCGGGGAGGAGGCGGGACCGCCGCCCGGCCGGAAGGTGGCGGCGGCGCGCGGGGGAGGGGTCGGCCGGCCGCGCGCCCTGCGGAGGGCTGCTGCGTAATCGCTTCTGTTTACGGTGCCCAGTTCTCGGCCTGGCTGGGGACGCTCCTGGCTGGAGCACCTGACGGAGCACACTCGACGTCTCCTCGGGGGGCAGGGGTAGGGGTGGGGGTCCCGTCTGCTTGTGTTGAGGGGAGAGTCGGTTGCCCGGGCTCCTTTGTTGTTGGTGAACCCCCCCTCACCATGTATGCCCTCAATCTGCCATCAGCTCTGCAAAGCTGCTGTTATACGTGTATAAGATGTGGGAGTGGGAGGGGGGAGAAGGGGCAGAGAGAAACGCTGGTCCACTACACAAATGCCCACAAAGCCCAAGCCAAGAGCCAGGAACTCCAGCAGGGCGTCCTGCATGGGTAGCAGGGGCCCTAGTGTCTGAGCCAACCCCTGCTGCCTCTCGGGATGCGCATTAGAAGGGAGCTGGATCAGAAGCGAGCCAGACTGGAAGCCAGGCATTCAGACATGGGATGCCTGCGTCCCAAAGGCGTCTCAAGGGCTGCACCGAAAGCCGGCCACTCAGACACGGTTTTGATGTCTGGAATGAGCCTGCAGTACCCCTGTGGGGGACCAGTGAGCAGCAACAGCCTGCGTCACAGTGTCCTACTGGGGGCGTGGAGTGGGGGCGCTGTGCCTGGAGGCACACGTGCCTCGAAGTTGCATTTGCATCTGTGCTTTGCATGACTGATCTACGGTTTCTGCTCAAACTGTGTGCAAGAGCCTGAGGTGTTTGCTAAAGAGACACACACACGCACGCACACACACACACACACACACACCAGCCCCATCACTGCACTCACACTCCAGTGGGTATTCCTCCGGTGAGATTTGCCCACTAAAATTGTGAACATTTCGTTACAACTGTTAAAAAAGGCTACATAAACAGCAAAGTAGGAAAAGACTCTAAGAGGTGTTTTTGAGGTCAGATGCCCCAAGGTACTAAATCTGATTTTCTTGAACTGCATTAATGCATTAGTCTGGGCAGACGGCTAGCCCCTAGCTCCGGTGCAACATTGGTTCCACCACAGAGACTGAGAGAAGCCCCTTCTGCTCTGCACGTGGGACTTGAGTGAGCTGTCAGCCTCCATAAAGGATGGCTATTGTAATAATCATGAATTCTGATCTGCACATCCTGGATCTGAGCAGCTAATCCAAACAAAAGCTTGTTAACTATATTAATTTAGCCTAACGGAGGGAAGAATGATGAGAATAAACAGGCAGTTCTATCTAATTTCTCACTACAGCAGACATATCGTTCTTCATCTCCATGGTCCAGCCTGTAGATTCAATAATTAAATTATGTACTGCTCTTGGTAGATGCTGGGAAAGCAAGGGGGGAAAATACTTCATCGTTAGCCATAATTTTTTTTTTTTTTTTGCTGTGATAAGAGTCAAGCTTGAGAGCGCGACATAGATTAAGATGATGGTTTTTAATGTCAAGTTGACTTTACTTGGCTGTCTTGTTGCCACTAAAGTGAATTAAATCCCGAGCCCCTGCTTTCTCTTCCCCTCCCAAATCCACTGCTTGTCCTTGTCACACCCATCTAGAGTCTTTGGGTCTTCTTAGATCCATTTCTCTTGTGACCAACTTCCAACCAATACATCACCAATTGCTGCTGGTCCTTCAACCACAACATCATTAAGCTTGCTTCCTTCCTCCGCTCCGTGAAGACTGTCATACATAATTTAGTTACTTCTCATCATTCTCCATTTTGGTCAACGCACACACTCCCCTCTGCAATAAATTCAACATCCTGCTTGCTGCAAACACATTACCCGGAATGTTCCTGCGTTTCACTGAAAGTCTCTCATCCTAGAGATGGGAACCCTCCTGATTCATAGTTTCACAACTGAGGTTTCAAATATTCTGTACTAACAGCAAAACCAGGTGGCCAATGGGAAAAAACATTCCTTGGTATATCTTGCTCATTAACACCTTGTAACTCTCTTAAGTGTGACTGCAGGTGTTAAATCTCTCTTGTTACTACCTTGTATTTTGGTTTATAATTGAGGATCTTTACCTACCTAACCACAGATATGCAGGTTTGCTGTGCCTTCAGCCATAACTATGTCATGTTTCCTTGAGCAAGGAGCGGAGACTTCATATGAGGGAAACCCTGTGAGTACATTTGTTTGTTTGTTTGTTTGTTTGTTTGTTTTGACAGGCAGAGTGGACAGTGAGAGAGAGAGAGACCGAGAGAAAGGTCTTCCTTTGCCGTTGGTTCACCCTCCAATGGCCGCCGCGGCCAGCGGGCTGTGGCCGGCGCACCGCGCTGATCCGGAGGCAGGAGCCAGGTGCTTCTCCTGGTCTCCCATGGGGTGCAGGGCCCAAGCACTTGGGCCATCCTCCACTGCACTCCCGGGCCACAGCAGAGAGCTGGCCTGGAAGAGGGGCAACCGGGACAGAATCCGGTGCCCCGACCGGGACTAGAACCCGGTGTGCCAGCGCCGCAAGGTGGAGGATTAGCCTAACTGTGAGTACATTTGTAAGGATGGTTGTAACAGGCTGTGTCTTGGCTTCTGTGTCTGCAGGCATGTGTGTTTCCTGTGTCTAGCGTGTAGCTAAATTTGGAAAATATTTCAGGGTCTTGGGCATGGGAGATTCAAATTTAAAAGCCATGCATCGAAGTAAAATTCTTCTGCCCTACCAACATACCACCTGCTGTTTTTCCCACCTCCTCACATTGTGGAGACAGGACACTGAGCGGTCACTGGGGGAACTGAGACAGATGCGTGTCTGAGGAGCAGCCACTCAGTACATCAAGATCGTCTCTGGAAACTGCACACAAGCCTTGTTGTCAGAGCAGACTTCGAATCCTGAGTCTACTTCCTGTAACCCAAGTGGCCTTCAGAAGGTACTTAGCATGCCTGTGGTCTCTGTAAAACCAACAACATTCATTCGTTCAGCCACTTTAAAATTCTCTGCCACTTGCAGCGCTGCAAATATCACAATGAATAAGATAAACCCATTCTTGTCCCCATAGGACTCCTCCCCACCAAAGAAATGCGGAATAAATGAACCTGGTTGCTGGTTCAGTTAACATAATAAATGTAATTCTAAGTCGCCTGCAGGAATGTCTTCCTTCTCTGTTCTTTATTTCAGCCAACAAGGCCAAAAGCTTATTTTCATAGGCTAACACATGCAATTAGAGGGGAAGTACTATTTCTAATGTTTTTCAAAAGAAGAGTTGTTTATGTTTCCATCCTGCAGTCCAAACTAGAGGGAATACTTAACTTTTCCCTTTTTTGGGTAAGATTAGAGAGAGAGAGAGAGAGAGAGAGAGAGATTTTTTCTATCTGTTGGTTTACACCCCAAATGGCCACAGTAGCCAGGCTGGGTCAGGCCAGAGCCAGGAACTAGAAACTCCATCTGGGTCTCCCAGTTGGGTGGCAAGGACCTAAGCACTTGGATTATCATCTGCTGTTTTCCCAGGAAAATTAGCAGAGAGCTGGATTGAAGTTTACAGGAAGCTGACCTTGGTGGTCCAAATGGAGATGGGAGTTGGAGAAGAGCAAAGATACTGACTTGCTTGAAGCCAGCACAGTTAGCCTAGCACAGTATGCTCCTCAAAAGGAGCTTACCTGGTGCTCTGGGATCATAGGTATGTCACTTGACAGTTGCTTAAGGAACAGATCATAGGATGGAGAGGGTTCTGGATTCGGAATATGGGAATGTGTGTGTTTCTGAGTTCCAATACTGTGGTAGTTCAGTTTGTACACCAATTGTTAAAAAAATATTTATTTACTTATTTGAAAGGCAGAGTTACAGAGAGGCAGAGAGAGTGAGTGAGAGAGAGAGAGAGAGGTGTCTTCCATCTGCTGGTTCACTCCCCAGGTGGCTGAAACCACCAAAGAGACAGAGACAGAGAGAGAGACAGAGAGACAAACACACAGAAAGAGAGAGAGAGAGAGAGAGAGAGAGAGAGAGAGAGGTCTTCCATCTGTCGGTTCACTCCCCAGATGGCTGAAACCACCAGAGCTGAGCAGATATGAAGCCAGGAGCCAGGAGCTTCTTCTAGGTCTTACATGGGGGTGCAGGGGCCCAAGCACTTGGGCCATCTTCTACTGCTTTCCCAGGCCATAGCAGAGAGCTGGATTAGAAGGGGAGCAGGTGGGACTCAAATCAGCACCCATATGGGATGCCAGCACTGCAGGTGGCAGCTTTACCTGCTACACCACAGTGCCGGCCCCCACATGTATTTTTATAGGTGTATCAGAGCATGAGGTCAGTTTTTTGTGTTCAATGAAAGGCATACAAATCACAGACTGCCAGGAGACAATATTACTGTCAGAGAGTGGGCATATAAATTGCCTGCATCCCACGTCAGAGTCTTAGATTCCTGACTCCATATTCCCACTAATGCAGACTTTAGGAAGCACTTGGAATGGCAATAGTAATTGGGTTTCTGCCACCTTGATGGGGAGACCTGGATTGCAGTCCCTGTTCCTGTCTTTGGCCCTGGCCCAACATTAGTCATTGAGGGCATTTGGGGAGTAGACAAATGGATGGGAGTGTATTCTGTGTGTGTGTGTGTGTGTCTGCCTCTCAAATAAATGAATACTTTCTTATAAAAAAGATTTTTCCTACCAAACAAAATCAGGATTCCTAAATAGCTTATTTTGCTAAGTTGAGGCTGCCAATTATTTTTATCATTAGACATCTGTAAAATTATAATAAAGGTCAGTAAGGAAATGTTAAGTCAGAGTATGCCAGAGCTGAGTGCTTTGTTATTAAATATTGGAAAGTATTTTATTGACTAAAATGAATGAATAGGAAATAATTGCTTGATGGAAATTGTTTGGAGCATCCAACCCATTAAAGAGAAGTCTTCAATGGCAAACTCCAGCTACACCTCTCTTTCTGCCTCCCTTCTCCCTATGCCTTCTGAAGACTTGGAGAGAACTTTGTGAAGTGAGACATTGGGGCTGGTGGTCCAGACAACCAGAGCAAGTTAAGCTGCTGTCTGCAGTGCTGGCATCCCATATGGGTACCGGTTGAGTCCCAGCTGCTCCATTCCAGTCCAGCTCCCTGCTAATGTGCCTGGGAAAGCAGTGGAGGATGGCCCAATTGCTTGGGCCCCTGCACCCACGTAGGAGACCTGGAAGAAGCTCTTGGCTCCTGGCTCCTGACTTCAGCCTGGCCCAGCACCAACCATTGCAGCCATTTAAAGTGTGAACCAGCAAATGGAAGATCTCTCTCCCTCCCTCCCTCCCTCCCTCCTTTCTCTAACTCTGTCTTTCAAATAAATACATCTTTAAGAAAAAAAAAAAGAGGTAAGGATCCCATGCTTAGAATTTTGGTCTTGTTCCCCAAAATGACCATGCATAGGAACCAGGATGGAAGGCAAGAGGGAAGGTGCTCTGTTTCTCTGTGGCATGTCAGCTCTCTCCATGACTTGCTTTTCCTCTACAGAGCTGAACGCATAGCTTCTTTCATACATAACCGGTTGAAGTTGATGGAAATTACATGCCTTATCACTTCTTAAAAGAAAAAAATACATAAAATGTAAATCTAAGAGAAATGGGCAATTTTCTTGTAGCACTTTATATTTCTGTGTAAGTTACCATGTGCCAATCATTCCTACTTTTTAAAATTCAGATTTGTCAAGCAGCATGTAAGCTTTCAGTGTTGTACAAGAAAAGATAATGCTTCGTGTGGAACAGTCACTTACGCTAGTTCTGTGAAAGTGCCTACCCAAAGAGAATTTATCAGATTGCTGGTTTTATAGAAATATTAACGATGTCATTAAATTATATCCTCTACTCGAGGGTCACCAGGAACCTCCAGAAGGGTAATCAACAAGGTATCATGGTGTGGGCTACAGAATTATTTATTGACATCACAATCACCACTCGTGTTGTAGTGTGTACTTTAACTGGTGGAGCAAGGTGAATGCCTGGGACTGAGTATAAACGAAAGGCCCTGTGAACTTGCATTTGGAAGTTAATGGCTATCATAATCTGCTTGACATGTTGTGCCTTCCCCAAGCTAACTGGAAAGCTTCTCAAACAAGAAGGCAAGAATCAAATTAATATTTTCCTCTTACAGCTCACCATGTCTGTGTGTATTGAAAGTAATGGCTGCAGCCCTGCCCTCACAACAACCATCTGTCATTAATGCCAGGAGGAAGAGGCGTGAACAAACAAGATAAGGTAGGAAGCCTGTCCTATTTGAATAACTGTTAGCGGTGAGACATTCCGAGCATGAATACAAGAGGTGATGGAGCACAACACAGCTCTAACAAGCCAGAGAGCTCCAAAGGTCTCCCATTTGACCAACCTCTCTCTGCTGCTGTGTTTGATGGACAACCCAAAGATGATGGACGGTAGAGAGCTGTCAGCCGTGAAGCACTTGAAGACACTTTGATGCTAGTAACGCCATTTTCAAATTAGCCCTGGACTGAGTTAAATATCAACGAAAGGGAGTGGGACAGCACTCGTGAGATCATCCCTAAGAGAAGAAGCGAGATTTAATAGTTTGGTGGTTACAGTAACCGCTATCCTGCAAGAAAAAATCAATATCTACACAGTGTTAGAATCACACCAAGGGCTCCTGGAGCTGAGCCATTTCAGCGAAGAATACACCCGGCTTCATTAGAGTAGAAAGAGTGTGGTAGGAGGTCAGACACACATGCGCCCTGGGCTCTTTTGTCGGGAAACCAGGAAGAAGCGCTCCTCTCAGGAGCCGAGCATTTTTTTAAAAGCATAGAACTTACAGAGCTGGAAGTGACCTTAGCAATCACTGAGTCCAGCCCCTTCTTTTTCCAGATGAGGAAAGAGTGGCCCAGAAAGACTACTTGGCTTGCTCCAGTTCACACAGCGGGCTGGTGAGATTTCCTCCATGCACGCCACTCGTGCCCACTCTTAGAGTTCATGCCTCAGGCCACTGCTGTTCCCTGAGAGCCACCGTGGAAGGCAGTCTGCTAGGGAGCAACAGGAAAGCTGAGCCAGTTCTTGCCCTCTCTCTCACAGCCCGAGAGCAGGTGCTGCCTGCACCCGGTGACTAAAGCAGCAGTGTTAGACAACATCCAAGAGCTGTCCCAGGGCACAACATAGATTTTGTGTGTCTACCCTTTCTGCCCCACCAATGGTGTAGATCGTAGATGCACAGGTATTTCTACCCCAGGTTCTGAGTTGGAAGAAGTCCAAGTTATGCAGGATCCAAAGAACATGGATCCAAAGATATGGACAGACTGCGTCATTCGCATCTTAACCTTGAATGTAAGCAGCTGCTCTATCTGTAGCCCTGCACAACCCAAGGAAACAATTCCAACTGAGCATGAGTTTCTGGAATAAGGCCCAGAAAAGGAAGAGGGAGTGCTCTCTCTTTGTGTTCACCAAATATTAAATGTTAAAATGTGGGAATTTCAAAAAGTTCATGAAAAATGAAATTAAATAAATTTACTGTGGTACAAAATAAAATCGCACAATTTTTTTCCAAGACACATTGACCATAACATTTTTTTTTTTTTTTGACAGGCAGAGTGGACAGTGAGAGAGAGAGAGAGAGAGAGACAGAGAGAAAGGTCTTCCTTTGCCGTTGGTTCACCCTCCAATGGCCGCCATGGCTGGTGCGCTGCTGCCGGCGCACTGCACTGATCCGATGGCAAGAGCCAGGTGCTTCTCCTGGTCTCCCATGGGGTTCAGGGCCCAAGCACTTGGGCCATTCTCCACTGCACTCCCTGGCCACAGCAGAGAGCTGGCCTGGAAGAGGGGCAACCGGGACAGAATCCTGCGCCCCAACCGGGACTAGAACCCGGTGTGTTGGCGCTGCAAGGCGGAGGATTAGCCTAGTGAGCTGTGGCGCCGGCGAACATAACATTTTTAAAGACCCCTCTCCTGTCCTCAGCACAATCACAGACCCCAAGAACCATAGAGTTTCAGTCAAATAAATACACATACATAAACATGTGCATGATCTTTCTGCATTGTATCTTAATGCAATCCTTGTTGAAATTCCAAGGATCACGTTACCTTTGATATTAAATTCTATCGTGTCACTCACGTGGAAAGTATCACATGAAGTGAGGCAACAAGAACACGCAGCATCCCCTCCAGGACTGGAGAAGGTGGCTGCGTCTGGTTTTGAGACTGATAGTGAAAGATGAAGTGTGGCTGCCGGAAACCCACAGTATCTCCACAACAATGCATCCCCCTCCACGGAAACTCCTTATCTTGCCTTCTACTCCTTTATGTTCTCATGTTCCCGGCTCCCTGTGAAGCCCAGACGAGTACATTTCTTGCAAGTCTTTGTTAATAGCCTATTTGCTCTCTTGCTGTTCTCATGTCACAGCACAAATGGCGTGTGTTGGCGAAAGGTGAAGAAGCAAGTTTACATTTAGAGTGCAAGTTCATTAGGAAGTAATCCATTTTGTTTGTTCTAGCCAGCTTCTAGGGTGCAGGTGCCTGTACTGAGGAAGTAACTTCATTTTATAAAAATGGTGGCAAATTCTATTAGTGATCGCAGTGGCACATTAAGCAGGTTATTATTAGACAGACTGACATTTCACATGCAGAAATATTCTTTACTTGAAAGTCAAGTGCCATTCAAAAGAGGAGAAATTATTTAGGATTTTTTTTTTTTTAAATCAAAGACATTCCTTGAAAAACTGAGCCTGAAAATGCCTCAATCAGTTTAGGAATCAGGGCAGGAACGGATGCCTTTGATTTTCCTTTGATGCACACAATACTACCAGAAGCGAATGGCTTTGGGAAGGGCTGGTAAGCAGTGGTCAGGAAAGTAGATTTTTCTTCACTATCCACAACTAGAGCCCGGTGCTGATGGGCCAGGGCCCAGTTGAAGGTCAGTATTATTCATTCTCAATGCGCACCACGAAGCACTCCCCCTTTGCTCCAGCCAGGCAGAATCCCACCCTCCTGCTGCATGTACAGATATTGCAGCGGCAACCGAGATGCGGGAAGAGTGTTTCAGCGCATACGCCTTTGGAGGTACACATTTGGCTCAGCAGACGCTAAACATTTTTAAGAGCACAGTAAGAAATAGGCCAGAAAACATCAAAAGCTTTATAGCTTTTGAGAAAGCTTGATGGTCTTGCTGGTACAACTCCCTGTGCTATGGTTCAGTTGTAATAACAATGGAGAGTGTATCAGTGCAAACTGCCGATGAAACATCAGAAAATGTAGCCAAGGGTCTTTTAAACGCATTTAAGAACTGTTCTTTTGAACTGAGCCTCTTAGCCTTGGAAAACCTCTTCAAGATTTTAAACAGGGCTCTGGATGAACTGCAGAGTGAGAACCTGAAATTATCCCGTGCGCTGGAATCAATATCAAGCAATATTTTCTCTTTGAGAGAAATTCAATCTGACAGAAAAGAGTAGGAGCAATAAGGAAACTGGGACCCCGGCTAAAATGCCTGCCTCCGAAACCCGCGGCAAAGCGGTACAAATCAGTGATGTCACCAGAGGCGGAACACCACAGTGACAGCAGAAAATGTTGTCTGAGCTTCAGAATACTTCATTATCACTAGCACAGGTCACTAAGCTTCACAAAATGCATCCATCAGCCTCCAGAGCCCTTTGTCAGCGGCCGCTGGTAGCTAGATGGCGCAGTGACCAAACACACAGCCCCGCGGTCGCAGGGGGCTTGGGAGCACAGACCACGCTCTCTTAGTCTCAAAGTGCTCTCTAGTGGCCAGGCGAATGCAGGCGGATTCCACACGCAGCAGCTGCTGCGATGAGGATTCCAGCTGTCTTGGAAAAGCCAGGCAGAGACTCTTCCCCCTCTGCAACCCATCTCTCCTGGATCCGTGGGAGCGGTTTAGGTGCAAGTGTGGCTTTCTCAGCTGTTGTGCTCGTGAAACCTGTACATTGTGAGGTTCAGAAGCGCCATTTCTCTGCTGTGTGTCAGGGGGAAGCGTGTAGGTGTAAATGAGGCCTCCCACAATTCTAGGAGGTTCCTTGGTGAAAGACCGCCACGCAGAACATGGACTGCAGTTAGCTGCTGCATCTGACTATGCAAATACTCTGTGCTATGCGCAGGTGATAACGGGAGAGAAAAGCACGGCTTTAGGGAAGGCGATAAAGTTCAACTCCCAGGCTTGCGAGAAGTAAACCATTGCTCAAACTCCTGCGGGTTTCAGGTGCAATCCCCGTTTTACCTACAGTGTTCATTTCATCTTCACCAAAACCTCCTAATGTAGGACTAATGTATGAGTCCTTCACTGCTTTTATTTATTTTTATTTTTTGGCCAGATAAGATAGGGGTTGACAACTTTTACCTGGAAAGGGCCAGAGGGGTACATACAAGAGCATTTCAAAAAGCTTGTGGGGCCGGCGCCGCGGCTCACTAGGCTAATCCTCCGCCTTGCGGCGCCGGCATACAGGGTTCTAGTCCCGATCGGGGCGCCGGATTCTGTCCCAGTTGCCCCTCTTCCAGGCCAGCTCTCTGCTGTGGCCAGGGAGTGCAGTGGAGGATGGCCCAAGTGCTTGGGCCCTGCGCCCCATGGGAGACGAGGAGAAGCACCTGGCTCCTGGCTTTGGCTCAGCGCGATGCGCAGGCCGCAGGGCGCCATCCATGGCGGCCATTGGAGGGTGAACCAACGGCAAAGGAAGACCTTTCTCTCTCTCTCTCTCTCACTCTCCACTCTGCCTGTCAAACAAACAAACAAACAAAAAGCTTGTGGAAAATGTAATGAAGAGATAAGATGGGGGGGGGGGGTGTACTTGAACCTGTGGTTAAGACACCACTTGGGATGACAGCATTCCATACAGTATTGCCTGGATTTGAGTCCTGCTTTGTTGCAGATTCCAGCATCCTATAACCCTGGAGACAGCAGATCACAACTTCAAACCATGAGTTTCTGTCCCTGGGAGATTGTGACTGAGTTCCCAGCTTTGGTGGGGCACAGGCCTGGCTGTTGTGGGCATCTGAGGAGTCAACCAGCAAACGGTTCACTAATTAACTAATTAAAAACTAATAAAATCAGTGCATGTCTAACAAGGTTAGCCAAGAAAAAAATAGAAGAAAAAAAGCAATAATTTTCTTGTGATTCAAAAAACATTTGAAATCCCTGCATGGTGCTTTCATAATGTGCAGTTTCCCATGAACTTTGTGAAATGCCCTCATCGTTTAGGCTTTGAGAGCCACGTGGTTGCTGCAACATTTGTCACCTGTTGGACTCTGCTGCTGCCGTGGGAGGACAGTCCAAGGCAGCAGGAACACAAACGAGAGTAGCCTTCTGCAAAAAAAAAACTTTATGGCCCCTGTAATGTGGGTTTCCTAGAATTCTCACATGCCTCAAAATGTTGTTCTTCTTTTGGTTTCATTTTAGCCATTTAAAATGCAAAAACCATTCTGAGTCAAGGGCCACACAAAAGCAGGCAGGGAGGCTGTGCACAAGCAGTGGCCTGCCTTGGCCCTGGGCCGTAGAGTACCCAGTCCTGTGATGAGGAGCCTGACTCCCCACACATGTGTCTAAGTGATGCCTCTGTAGTCAGACCAGCCAGCCAGGGCCCAGGCTGCAGGGCATCCTTAGCCCTGCCCCCATTTCCCATACCTCAGAGCTCCTCCTAGCTTTGACATTCATTTTATTTATTTATTTATTTGTTAAAGATTTATTTATGTGAGAGGCAGAGTTACAGAGAGATAGAGAGAGAAAAAAAAAAGTCTTCCATCATCTGGTTCACTCCTAATGGCTGCAATAGCTGGAGCTGGGCCGATCTGAAGCCAGGAGCCAGAAGGATCTCCCATGCAGGTACAGGGGCCCAAGGACTTGGGCCATCCTCCATTGCTTTCCCAGGTACTAGTCCCAGTTGCTCCTCTTCCAGTCCAGCTCTCTGCTGTGGCCCAGGAGGGAGTGGAGGATGGCCCAAGTGCTTGGGCCCTGCACCTGCATGGGAGATCAGGAGAAAGCACCTGGCTCCTGGCTTCGGATTGGTGCAGTGTGCCAGCAGTAGCGCCCATTTCGGGGGTGAACCAACAGAAGGAAGACCTTTCTCTCTGTCTGTCTCTCTCACTGTCTAACTCTGCCTGTCAAAAAAATAAATAAAAAAAGAAAGATGAAGGTGGTTCCAGGAAGACCACTGTAGAAGGCTTGATGGAGATTTCTGAATGGGCTGCATGGCACAGTTCTCAAATGCAAAGGGCTTGACATAATACAGGGAACAAAATATAGATCCATGGAAACAACTAAACACACCCCGCATCTTTACTTTTTAAACTCATTTATCTGAAAGGCAGGGAGCATCAAAGAAATCATGTGCCCCCATTAGCTGATGCCCACAGCGACTGAGGCAGGACCAAGCCAGAGTTGGGAGTTGGGAACTCAATTCAAGCCTCCCTCAGGGAGGCGGGGAACCCCATACCTACATTGCCTGCTGCCTCTCACGGTGCTCATTAGCAGGAAGCTGAAGGTGGAAGCAGAGCCGGGACTGAAACCCACACACTCTGATGTGGGACGCGGGCATCCCACACACTGCCTGAACCACGGCACCAAACGCCACTGCGGTG